TTTCGGCGGCGAGTTTGGTGGCAATTTCGGCGGCGATTTCGGCGGCAAATTCGGCGGCAATTTCGGCCGCAATTTCGGCGGCCCTGTCAGCGGCTCTTTCGGCGGCCCTTTCGGCGGCAATTTCGGAGGCCCTTTCGACGGCTCTTTCGGCGGCCCTTTCGGCGGCGCTGCTTTTGCCAACTATCGACCGTGGCTGCCGGGAGCTCTGGGCACTCGGAGGTCCCGGCGGGCCCTGGGAGGGCCCTCGAAGGGCCTCGCCAGAAAGCGTCTGCGAAGTAGCTCAAGCCACGCGTGATTGGCACGCAACGTGCAGAGCGAATTCCTCCTCGCAACGTGCAGAGCGAATTCCTCTCGTTCTGCGTCAGCACGCAATACGCTGCGCATGGAAACCACCGCGCGACAGGGCGCGCCTGCACACCGAAACCATCAAGAAAAACTCAATTTCGTTTGGAATCAATTTCGGCGAAACGCCCCGTTCCGTCTCCAAAGAAAGTGCCACTACGAACCCCCCTCCCACTCAATGCAAGTAAACGTGCCGGAATCTAGCAAAAAAATGCCGCATGAAGAATCCAGGCTCTGGAAGCCGGTGGAACTCCAATCGTGGACTTGCCATGTTTACATTACCGCCGCCCTCATCGGGTAAGGAATCCTCCAGGGTCTGAAACCTCCTGAGCACATTCTTTCACCAACGATCTCACTGCACGAGGGCGGCGCCCATGTACCGCACCAGCACCAGGTTTGGACTCCCTCCAGGCATCGCTTCGCCGAGGTACTGAACATGTCTTTTCGGCTCTGAGGGCCGGAAGGCTACTCCAGATTTCGTAATAAAGGGAGGGGGGTCTCATTTCGGGGGGGTCTCTTCCAGGCTATCTTGGAGGGCCTGGGGGGTCTGGGGACGATGTTTTGGAGGGTCCTCCCACGGGGGAGATCTGACATGGCTTGTCTTGGAGGGTCCAGACCCCCTCCCTTCTATTACGAAATCTGGAGTACGTATGCACCGTGGCCGGGGCGAAGATCGACGACGCGTCGGGAGACGCCACCGTGGAACTCACGGTGCACACAACAAACGGGTCGTCCGCGGAGGAGTGACCCTATAGGCCAAGAAGTGGCCTCTCTGGTGCGCGGCTTGCCCATCGCCGCGCGCCGTGCGGCAGTCGCGCGGGCTGCGCGCGGAGGAGTAATTAGGCGGCAATTCGTGGAGGTCTTCGAGAGAACGAGCTGGAGTTACTATCGGGTCGGGCGAAAGGGGGGGATAGCAAAGGGGGGGGTTGAGAATCAGCTCACGTAGCTGATTTTCCTGGCGCCTCCGGGCGCCGGAGGCGGCTATGTATCGAGGAATGGGCCCCTCGGCGGGGCCGAAACCAGCTGCATGCAGCAAATTTCGTACCCCCCCCCTGTCCCAATCCCCCCCTTTCGTCCGGCCCGATACTAGGCCCGATCAAGGGGCCGTTAAACCCGATGCGGCCAGACAGAAGGACCAGGCCACACTAAGCGGGGCTGAGCCCGAGCAGACGGTACTATGTTGGATTCGACCGGATTCGGACCACGGATGCCAGCGCCGATGCTGACCTTAATCTCTCGGTAGCTACGTCCTAGCTTGGGTGTGGCACCCTTCTGCGCCCCCCGAAAAGTTGGAGGATGGACAGGACCCAGACCACCGACGTCATGTTTTATTCGTAACGCCGACCTTCAGAGGTCTCGACCCATTCCCCTGCACCGGTGTTTCATCCTGAGTCGTTGCTTGACGGTTCCGAGTGCCGGGAAGGGCCTCCAGAGGCCGAGCATACGGACAAAACCTGCCGTGTGATATTTTTTCATTGCCCGAGGGCGTCTGGGGACTCCCGTTGGCAAAGCACCCTCCCGGTGTCCGTCTGCTATGCAACCGTTCACCCCGGGTTCGTGTTTGATGCGCCGAGAGATGCAGGAATCCTTCCCGGACCCGGAGAACCCAGCTGCTGCCCGCCCTTCCTGCTGGCCGGAACCAGTGCTGGGCCACCTCGGACCCCAAGACGGCTCCAAGGCGTGGGCTCTGCACCAGCCTCCGAGAAGGAGCGCACCAGAGGCCCCTCGGGCGAGAGGCCACTCTCACGCGCAGCCGACGGGGGGGTCGTTGGTGCCGCAGCCGCTGGCGCGCTCGGGCCGATCGGGGACGGGGGACGACTGGTGACTGGGGAGGGCGATCCTCTCTCTCGATGGGGGGGGTCCTCCACTCGAAGGGGGGCAAGCAAACGACATGAGCAGAAACTTTGGAGGACGTCCGCGCGGATTTCTCGGATCGGCGCTGGGACCCCCTGGTGGCGCCTCTGGCGGCGCCCCTGGCTCGCTCCGCACGCCAGGGATGGGCCCGGCGTCGATCCGAGAAATCCGCGCGGACCTCCTAAAGTTCACATTTCTGTTAGAATCCTCTGACATTGGGAGGCTCGGGAGCCTCCCCGGCCCAGAAAAGCTTGAGGAAGCCACCCAGGCCTGGCAGCGCGCGACGCGCGCGCGCGAGGCGAGTCGTGGGTGGCATGCGTGCTGGGGCGGACGGAGGGAGACAGCCGCAAGAAGCACATGGGGCCCGAAGGAAACGGATCCTGGAAACTGGGGCCTTCCCTGAGGGCAGGCTCCTCATCCCGATCGGCCGGTTTCTGACTCGCCCTCCGGGGGGCCCAGGGAAGGCCCTGGGCGCCCCAAAGCGACGAAGCACCGCGGGGTCCGCTTCTGCCGGGACCCTTTCGCCTCCTCCCGTTGCCGCTCCATCGGCGGGCGGTGCGCGTCTGACGTGCCGTGGGGCCGCCGCGGCGTCGCGGTGGTGTCGAAGGCGGGGGCCGCCGGCGACGCCGACGACCGGCGCCCGGCGCCAGGCGCCCGAGGAGCGGCGAGGACGAAGGCTGGTGATCGGCGGCCGGCGTCCGACGGCGGCCGGGGCGGAGGACGCACGCCGGACGAGGGCGAGAGGCGGCGAGCGGCGAGCAGCGGGCGGCGGCGGCGGCGGCGGCGGCGGCGGCGGCGGCGGCGGCGGCGACGACGACGACGACGACGACGACGACGACGACGACGACGACGACGACGACGACGGCGGCGGCGGCGGCGGGCGGCGGGCGGCGGGCGGCGGGCGGCGGGCGGCGGGCGGCGGGCGGCGGGCGGCCCGCGGCTCGCCTTCGGAGCGCGACCTGCGGTGCCTCTCCGCGTCCAGCCTCGGGGTCGGGGGAGGCGGCCACGGGGCGGGAGGAGCCCTCTGCGCGCCTGGGCTCGAGGAGGAGGAGGAGGAGGAGGAGGAGGAGGAGGAGGAGGAGGAGGAGGAGGAGGAGGAGGAGGAGAAGGGGGGGGGTAAAAGGCTAGCCGTCTGAGGGGTGCCTAGACCCCCTGAGGGGGTCTGGCTAACTGTTTCTGGACAGTGGTGTTGGTTCGGAACGGGGCCTGGCTCTGGAGGGCTAGCAGCGCCAGCAGTGAGAGCTGTCGAGCTCGCGCGCGCTACCCACATCGACGGCGCGTGCGTGCGGACACGTTGGCATACGTTGGTTCATCTCGCTTCTGCCAGTGCCTAACAAGGAGCTCAACGCGCGCCCGTCCAAGGCCCGCCGCGGGCCACGGCCCTCGACGCCCTCCAAAGGCGCGATGGGTTCGGTCCCGATTGGTTGGTAAGCATTGACCCTCGCGTTTCGAAAAAGTCACGACGGAAAATGTTAATTGTTTTGGCCCTCACCGGGCCCCAGGACCATGAGAGAGCGACGCGGGATGAAAAAGCGGTCCAGGGGAGACCTCTGAGGGTCGGCGTTATGACAAAATCATGACGTCAGGTGTCTGAGTGGGTGGGCCATGAGATCTGGGCGTTGCAGTCTTTCCGCGCCAGGCGTGTTCGCCAGATGTCGCGCCCCGGGACAGCTCGATCTGGTCCGAGAAATGGAACAGGAAGATGAGGCCTTGGGCTCTGGTCGTCATTTCTGGCGATGGCGCAATGTGTTCGCAACGTCGGACCCCCCTGTGGGGGGGGGGCAGGGGGGGGAGAGCCCTCTCCCAGATCTCCCGCGATGTGATTCGTGCCGCTCCTGGAGTTCGTCCTGGCCTCGGGGCCCGTTGTCGGGCCCCGGGGCCATCATACAGACCCTCGGCGCAGAACTGGCCCTGCGGAAGGGGTGGGGTCGGGAGCCCTGGGGCCGCGAATTGACAAAACAATGTCGGATGATGTAAGGGCCCCCTTCCCCGTCCTCTCTCGGGCTGGGTTCCTCGTCGTCGCCGCCCGATCGTCCGCGCCAGCAGCACGGAAGAGATTGCCCACCAGCTCTGCCAGGAGATGGAGGGGGAAAGTGGTTTCGCGCCTGGCGGCTGGCGCTGCATAGCAGGCCACACGGACGAACGACGAACAGAAACGAATCACACGCGAGAAGAAAAACTGTGCAGGCATTTGATCAATTAGCAGTGAGTATTGCATCCAGGGTCTGGAAGCTCGTGGAACACTCATCAAGGTTGGCCATGGAAATCACCGCCACCCTCATCAGATAAAGAACCCTCCAGCGAGAAACACGATCATCGTGTTGGGAGGAGGGCGCTAGTCAGATGCAGGGCACGACCGTGTGAGAAACCCGCTCGACATACGCGGTACTACGGATGAACTGATCATCTCTCCTAACCCCATCCTCCCAACCCGAAAAACGAGATCTCGGGTCCAGGGTCTGAAGCCTCCTGCGCACATTCCTTAACGCACGCCCCCGCCGCAGCGGCGTGACGCGGTGGCTTCCGCAGGCCGCCAGCGCGGCACGCCGGACTGGAGAAGAGGGCGCTCGCGCGCGGCCTTCCGCGGGCAGCCTGCGCGCCCATGTCGGCGCAGTGAGCCCTGTTTCCTTCCGCTGCTCGGAGGGCCGTCCCCGGAGACCCGCCGGGGGGACGACCGGAGAGGGGGGGGAGGAAAGGAGCATCCGCGGAGTCGGCGGGGCGGGGGCCCTGGGAGGGGCTCCTGCGGAGGGGCCCCGAGGACGGGGGCACGCACCAGGAAACCGTCCACTTGGATGGGCGGGCGGGCAGGAAGGTGGGGGAAGGAGGGTGGGCAAGCTAGGTTCGCTCGCGTCATATCTGACGTCCTAGCCCACCCTCCCATCCGTCTCCATGGCGTGGATATCAGCTCTATTCCAACAGTCGTATGTCGAGCAGGGCAACGATCGCGAAAGGGTACGCGATTAATGGTAGAGCACGGCATGGCATGGCGTAGAAGAGCACGGCAGAACGTAGCATGCCATATCATGGCGTGGCACTGCGCAATGAAGCATTGCATCACGCAGCGTTGCAACGCAAAGCATGGCATCGCACAGCGGCGCATAACACAACACCGCACAGCATGTCATGGCATGGCGTCGGGCTTCTTGGAAGGTAAGTGGATTGTCTTCGAGAGGTCTGGGCTGGTCTAGAGTAAACAGGGCTCCCGCTTGAAACTTCCTGAAAACGACGACGCCCCAAAGTGGGGAGGTGGAGGGTTCTTCGGCTCAAAAAATCAACGAATCGACACCGAATGTGTAATCACTTCCGATGGCTTTTTGGGATGCAATTTTTAAAACAATTAGGACCCATTTTGGGGGACCGAGAACACGATTTGGAACAACCAAGGCGCAGAAAAGGGGCCAACGCTGCAGCAGGATCAACATATTGAAAACACAACCCAACGAAAACACAACTCCTGGGCAAGCCTGTTTTAAAAAATACTCGGATGGGGGGCTGGACATCTTCCGCACGTCATCAGGGGTGACGAGAATAGTATTCAGATTGTGCAATTTTGGAAGAAAGGAGCAGGGGGTCCCAGACACCGAACGTGCGATTGAAACCGCAACGAAAGAGCTGTTCGTCGTTTGGGCCTCTTGCGTGGGGGCCCTCCGCTGGGCCTCGAGGCCTTCAAAGCCACCCCGTGGGAACATGTCGGGTCTTCTGGGGACCAGTCTCAAAAGTGAAGACACTGGCTGGTGGCCTGCCTCCCACGAGGCAGATACGAGGGGATTCGAAAGCATAAAGAGGGGGGGTGAACGGGCGGGGGGAAAGAGATTATTGTGCGGGGGGGTGCGTTGAAAACAAGAACGGAGGAAGAGAAGGGATATGATGGATAGGACGAGGGTGGGGAAATGGATAATGGAGGTCCGCACACAAGGAGGGGGACGAGACTGGGGGGACAACTGAAGAGGCGGAGAATGAATGTGTGCCAAGATGATGTTGGCGACTACGACGATTCTGATGATGATGATGATGATGATGATGATGATGATGATGACGATGACGAAAGTGATCATTTCCAGGCTGATATTTAGGAACAGCGACGCCCCGCGCCCCCTCAGAATTACTTTCGCCTTTCGCGATCGGCCTGCACTCAGCCGTGAGACAATGTCCTGCGTGAGCCACCCAGCCCCAGGAGGGGCAAACTGCAAATCAGCCTGGTCGTCGAAAGCTCCACTGGCCCAAGAATTTGGCCACCATCACCTGCCGCTTGCCTGAAGGCCCAAGAGCAGCGAAGTGGCGAGCAAACGAGATAACGCAGGGCATGTCCTAAACCAAGCTAGGCTTGGAAACGTTGAAAAACTTCACTGCGTCGCCAGTCTCAGAACCAGCTGTGAGAAAGAACCCGTTGCCGACTGACGAATCGATGGGCCACTTCGAGCGGGAAGGGTCGGCCTTCACGGTCGCGTCGAATTCGTTGCGAATCCGATCCGTCACCATCACATGCACGTTTGTCACGCCGTCGCGAAGGGGCCGAAGACGCAACGCACGGAGGGGCCTCGAGGGAGATGTGCTCAAAGCCGGCGAGGTTGGCATTTTCAAAAATATCGATCCTGTCGGGAGCTGCTTCTGGAGAGGTGAGATTCATCGCCGACTTCACCTGCTCAATCGCACGCGTGGAGAAACTTGCAACACCTGCTTCGAACAGAAACTTACGAGTGCACACATGCTTGAAACTTACGAGGAGCTGCCGTCACCGCCTTCGCTGCTGTCGCCGAAACCGCTGCTGTTCTCATACGAGCGAAACGAGGACAACTCTTTCTCAGTCTTAGCAATGTTAGCCCCCTGCTCCCCAAGTCCAACTTGCAAAGCCCTGGCGTGAGAAACAAGCTCAGAAACCTGAGCTGTAACTGAGGTGAGGGAGTCGCTCATCTTGGCCACCTGAGCCGCCAACTCGGATATCAACGCATCCGTGCCTTTGCGAACCATCGCGCCCCCGAGCATACGCATCGGGACCCGAGTGGCCAGGTAGGAGCAAGCAGAGGCACAGGCAGCGGAGCCCAGGTTTCGAACTGCCCCCTCAGCTGCGACCGATTTCGAAGCACAAGGTATTAGTGTTTCGAGCTCTAGCCAACATGGCTACGCATGATGATGGTGGTGGTGGTGATGACGACGATGGTGATGGTAACGTCGCGACAGAAGGGTTGTGATATGTTCGGCCTCTGGGGGCCCTCGCCGGGCCCCCGGACCGTTGCCGCTGCCCTCGACCCCCCTGAGCTCCGACGCTGCGACACAGCTGCAACATCGCGAAGAATTACGACGGGAGATCGAGACCCCATCAATCCTGCGCCGCTTTTTTCGAGCCAGACCGATGCATTGGACGCCCGAATTATCCGGGATAACTCGGGTCCGGGGTAACTCGGGTTTGGGTTCCCGAAAAACGGACCCGAGTTAGCCCTGACCCGAGTTACCCCTGATGATTCGGGGCTCTGGACGTCCGAAATATCCGGGGTAACTCGGGTCCGGGATAACTCGGGTTCGGATTCCCGAAAAACGAACCCGAGATAGCCCTGACCCGAGTTACCCCTGATGATTCGGGGCTCTGAATGCATACGAGGGCCACCGGGCCCGATATAAAAGGCAGAAGCGCCCAGCTCGAAAACACGGCGACGCCGGGATCTCCGGGCCCCAGCGGGAGGGCCGCCGCTGCCCTCGACGCGGCGCACCTCCGACCGGGCCCTCCCCCCCTCGCGGCCTGCAGCGGTGCTCCACGGCCAGCTGGATACGGGACGCGGCCTCCCGGCGCTCCCGGAACCGCCGCCGCCCCGGGCTCTCGCAGCCAGCGGCAGCCTGCTGGGAGGGAGGGAGGGAGGGAGGGAGGGAGGGAGGGAGGAGGAGGAGGAGGAGGAGGAGGAGGAGGAGGAGGAGGAGGAGGAGGAGGAGGAGGAGGAATAGCTGCAACACGGCGGCGTGGCGGCGCGACCGGCGCGGCTCTCGCGCAAGCGGGGCGGCGTCCTGCAGCCGCCTTGCGGCCTCGACTAGAGGAAGTCGGGCCGCCACCTCGTCGCCCCTGCCCACATCTTAGATGTCTCCGACGGTCGGCTCCTGTTCGGTCCCGCAAGTGCTTTCTCCATTTCGGCCCTCGGAGGCTGCTTCTGGGGCCCGAGGAACCATCGGACGTGGATCGGGGACGTAACTAGTGCTAGCCCCAGGGAGGGGGGTCAGCAGTTCTGGGGCCGCGGATCGAAAAAAACACATCGGGACGAGCATGAGTGGACCCCGCCTTGGCCCCACCAGCCCCGGCCGACTTGCCCCAGCCCAGTCGCGCTGCCGCTGGTTGCCTAGATCAGGGTTGCGCCAGCGCCAACTTCTCTCCTTTCCTTCATCCCTCCTCCCCTTCTCCTGCTCCTCCTCCCTCTGTCATCCCACGCTGCCCCCTCTACCCCTCGCGCCTCCCACGCCCCCTGCACCCCCCCTACTCGTCACCACTGCCTCCCCTCCCTCCCCTGAGATCCGACGTAGCCGAAAAGTTGCCGCCTCGTTAAGAATCACACCTGGAGCCCAGACCCCATCTTTCTGCATCACTGTTCGAAGCGGATCGATCTGAGAGGGTCCCCAGGCCGCAGAACAGGCGAAAACGCCCAGCTCGAACAAGATTGAATCGCCAGGATCTTAAGGTCCCCCGCCCCTCTGTCCCAGACGCCCACCAGCACGCCGGCTCCGCGCGTGGGGGGGCGTGCCTCGGCCGGCCCTGCGCCCACGGCCCCGGGCCCATGCCCTTGGCCCTTAGCCCTTAGCCCTTAGCCACCAGACGGGGCGGGGGCCCGCCCCAGGCGCAACGTTCTGTGCTCGCGCTGATGCGCTCAGAGGCCGATGCTGCCCGCGGCCGAGCAGCCGGCCGGCAAGCGGCAGCGGCGGCAGCGGCCGAGCGGCCGAGGCATGCGCCCTGGGGCGGCCGAACGGCCCCGCGGCCGCTGCACTCAGTCCCTGTTTCCACTCGGCTGCGCCGAGCGTCTCCTCCCCCTCCTCCTCGTCGTCCTCCTCCTCCTCCTTCTCCTCCTCCTCCTCCTCCTCTTCCTCATCCTTCTCCTCCTTCACCTCCTCCTTCTCCTCCTCCTCCTCCTCCTCCTCCTCCTCCTATTCCTCCTCCTCTTCCCCTCCTCTTCCTCCTTCCTCCTCCTCTCCTTCATATTATTCTTCTTATGATTATCAATCATCTTCTCCTTCTTAATATTATTGTTCTTCGTATTATTATTCATTATTATGTTTATTAGTATTAGTATTATTATTATTATTAGTTATTAGTAGTACTATTATTTTTATCAGTATTATTATTAGTAGTAGTATTATTAGTAATATTAATTAGTAGTATTCATATTATTATTATTAGTATTATTATTATGATTATTATTATTCGTATTATCAGTATTACTACTATTACTATTATTATATTAATAATAATAATATTATTGTTACTATCATTAGTACTAATATTATTATTACTAATATTTACTTTTACTATTAATACTATTATTATTTATTATTCCTACTCTTCTTCTTCATAGTATTCATCTTCCTCCTCCTCCTCCTCCTCCTCCTCCTCCCTCCTCCTCCTCCTCCTCCTCCTCCTCCTCCTCCTCCTCCTCCTCCTCCTCCTCCTCCTCCTCCTCCTCCTCCTCCTCCTCCTCCTCCTCCTCCTCTCCTACTCCTCCTCCCTCTCCTCCTCCTCCTCCTCCTCCTCCCTCCTCCTCCTCCTCCTCCCTCCTCCTCCTCCTCCTCCTCCTCCTCCTCCTCCTCCTCCATCCTCCTCCTCCCTCCTCCTCCTCCTCCTCCTCCTCCTCCTCCTCCTCCTCCTCCTCCTCCTCCTCCTCCTCCTCCTCCGTCTCCGTCCTCCTCCTCCTCCTCCTCCTCCTCCTCCTCCTCCTCCTCCTCCTCCTCCTCCTCCTCCTACCCTCCCTCCTCCTCTCCTCCACTCCTCCTCCTCTCCATCCTCCGCTCCTCCTCCTCCTCCTCCTCCTACGTCTCCTCCTCCTGCTCCTCCCCTTGCTCCTCCGTCTCCTACTCATCTGCTGCACCTCTTCCGCTGCGGGCCAGGCAGGCGGCAGCCCAACCCAGCCCAGACATCCGGCGTCTTGTTTTTGTTCGAGACGCGGGCCCCCGACCTCCACCACGCACACCCCTCACGCAGGTCGTGCCACAAACGGGCGCTCCACCGACGGCCTCCGCGGACGCGACCGCATCCGAGCCCAGCGCCGCGACTCTTGCTCACTACAACTGACGTCTCACGCGGACTTCCGCCGCCTTCCGCCGGCCTTCCGCCGCCGGGCCCGCCCGTCGCCGCTCTGCTTCGGGAGGCCTTCCTCCCCTTCTTGCTCCTCGTCCTCGTCTCCCTGCGTCCCTTCTTCCTTCCCCTCCCCGTCCTTTGCACCACTCCTCCTCCTCCTCCTCCTCCTCCTCCTCCTCCTCCTCCTCCTCCTCCTCTCCTCCTCCTCCTCGTCCTCCTCCTCCTCGTCCTCCTCCCTCCTCGTCCTCCTCATCCTCCCTCCTCCTCCTGCTCTCTTGCTGCGCTGAGCGTCTCCTCCTTCTCCTCTTCCTCCTCTTCTCCTCCTCCTCCTCCTCTCCTCTTCCTCCTCCCTCCTCCTTCCTCCCTCCTCCTCCCTCCCCTCCTCCTCCTCCTCCTCCCCCTCCTCCTCCATTCCTTTTCCTTATACACCCCGAGGCCAATTGTTAGGGCGGGCCGGGCGTTTCGCCTGAGACTTCCTCACCGCTCATGACTCTTAAGCGTAAGCATTGGCAACTGCTTCACAGATGGAGGGCGGGTGGTTTTCAAAATGTGGCTCTCGCCGCAGCGCCGCGCACATTCTTTCTACAAGCGTGCAAGAGCTTCACGGATTGAGGATCACCCGTTTTCAACATGTGGCTCTCGCCTTAGCACCGCGCACTTTTGGTTCAACAATTTGCAAGAGTTTCACGGATTGAGGGCGGTTCCTTTTCAATATGTGGCTCTCGCCTTAGCGCCGCGCACATTCGTTCATACCATGTGCAAGGGTTTCACGGATTCCCACGATCAACTTACCAGAAATAGGGTTGGGAAGGAGTCAGGATTTTGCGGGTGCAACAGTTACGTTGATTCGCGGTGTTGAAATCCCAAGGATGGCGTCCTGGAACGATCCAAGATCGTCAGGACGCAACAGTCAGGTTGATCCGTGGCGTTGGATTTGTCTTTCCAACAAGGCAGATCCCTCAATGGAAATGAACCGTTGTAGGGGCCCATGAGAAGGGAGCTTGGAGGGAGGGTGCATTCCAATATCGTTGATGGCTCTTGGGTTTACACTGGTCCTCCTCCTGCTCCTCCTCCTCCTCCTCCTCCTGCTCCCCCTCCTCCTCCTCCTCCTCCTCCTTCTCCTCCTCCTCCTCCTCCTCCTCCTCCTGCTCTCCCTCCCTCCGCCGAGGGCGAGGCGCGCCGCAGGCGAGAGGCCGTTCTCTGGATCACGCGCCGCACGTGCCGAGGGAGCACCCCCGCCTGCAGAGCCCAGTGCACCGCGGTCGGCGCCTGCCAGCCCGCGGAGGACGCCTTCCCAGGAGGTGCACCCGCAGACACCATCGGGCCATCACAAAAAATCACGACGAGAGGCGTTGCGCCACCTTCGGCCTCTGGGGGCCCTCACCGGGCCTCGGGACCGTCAATCTACACGACCCGGGGTGAGAAGCTGGTCCCCGGGGAATGGGACGAGACCTCGGAGGGTCGGCTGCAGGGGCCCCAGGGCACACAAATAAATACACACAAATGCAAATATTCCCCATATTTTCCTATCTTTTCTGGGTTTCTGTCTTCCCCCCCACTTCCCATATTTTCCCACATTTTCTGGGGAATCGAAGATCGATAGTATCTGTGTGATTCTTTCCCTCCTGATCGGCGCTGTGAACAAGCCATGGCGTCGGGGGCCTGGGTGCCCGCAGGCCCCCGATGCGCAGTGACCTCTCCGCCTGCGTGGGCACCCCCATGTGGTCGGAGCGCCGTCCGTGGGACGAGGCGCCTCGCCGCCCGACCGAGCCGTGGTCTGGACGGCCTGCCTCGGGCCTGGGCGAGGGCTCCGCGGGGCCGACAGCGTCAAGGAGGAGGAGGAGGAGGAGGAGGAGGAGGAGGAGGAGGAGGAGGAGGAGGGCCAGGCCACGCCGCCGCCGCCCACTGCCCCGCCACCCGGGCCCGAGGAGCGGCGAGAGGGGGGGGGGGCGGGGGCCTCCTCCGGTGCGGCCGCCGCGGGCGCCGCCGGCCGCTCGCAGCCGGACACCGGCTCGTCGCGCGCGTCCGTGGGCGACCGCTCCTCGTCGCCGCCGCCGCTGCCGCCGTCGCCGCCGCCGCCATCTCCGCCGCCGCCGCCGTCGCCGTCGCCGACATCGCCACCGCCACCGCCTCTGCCGCTCCGCCGTCGCCGCCGCCATCGTCGTCGTCGTCGCCGCCGTCCCCCTCCCGCGGGTTATCCACCCCCCCCCTTGCCTCCCCCTCGACCTTCGGCTCCTCCCCGCCCTCCTTCTCGTCGTCCTCGTGCTCCTGCTCGTGCTCCATCTCATCCAGGATCTGGGAGGATCTAGGAGGAGGAGGGGGCTCCTCCCCCTCCGGGTCCCAGTCCTTCTTCTCACCTTTCCTTTCAAACCCCTTCTACTCTTCGCCACTCCGTCTCTCTCTCTCTCTCTTAGCCTCTCTCCCTTTCCAAACACGCACACACACTCCTCCCCTCACCCGGCGACGACGAACACCACCAAGACCACGACATCGATAACGCTCTCGACGACGACGGCCACGACAGTGACGACGACGACGACGGCGAGACATAGACCACGACGACCGCGGCGGCGACGCCGAGGACCCCGCCGGTCCTCAGCTGGCGCGGAAGCCGGCGACCGCGAGGAGCCGTCGGCGGCGGCAACCTGCTCGGAGCCGACCGGCTGCTCCTGGGGCGGCAGCGAGCCCGACCCCGACCCCGGCCCGCCCACCGAGGGGGGGGCACCGGCAAGGCCTGGGGCTTGCTGCGCATCGACGGCCCTCGGAGCCGGTCCTGCCTGCCCCCGGCTTGAACAGGGACCGACCGCCCCGCCATTCCTGTGGGCCTACCACGCAATGTCCTCAGAACCCCAAACTGTTCCAAGAACGGAAACAGTGATCTTAGAGCATAAGCCCTGCGTGTTAAAGCACGACGGTCCCAGTCAGAACTGTTCTGAGAGCATGTCGTGCAAGCCACCGAAGGTTCCTAGAACATCAGCCTGGCGAAGGACCCAACCATACGCCGTTGTTCGTACGGCAATTGTGAATATCTTCTTCGGTGGCGCTCCCTATGGGGCCACGAGACGTGTGAGGGGTGTGCCGAAATTGTTGATGGGGACGCATGTGGACGGTGGCGCTTGGGCCTTCGGTGGAGCACCCGATGGGGCCACGAAACATGTGAGAGGTGTGCGGACATAGGTGTGGGGGACGCATGTGGACGGTAGCACTGGGGCCTTCGGTGGAATCCCCTATGGAGCCACAAAATGTGTGAGAGGTGTGCCGAAATGGGTCTGGGGGACGCATGTGGACGGTGGCACTCGGGCCTTCGGTGAAGCGCCCTATGGAGCCACGAAAAACTTGAGGGGTGTGCCGGAATGGGTGTGGGGGACGCATGTGGACGGTGGCACTGGGGCCTTCGGTGGAGCTCCCTATTGGGCCACGACACGTGTGTGGGGTGTGCCGAATGGGTGAGGGGGGCGCTTGTGGACGGTGGCACTGGGGCCTTCGGTGGAGCTCCCTATTGGGCCACGACACGTATGAGGGGTGTGCCGAAATGGGTGTGGGGAACGCATGTGGACGGTGGCACTGGGGCCTTCGGTGGAGCTCCTTATTGGGCCACGAAACGTGTGAGGGGTGTGCCGAAATGGGTGTCGGGGACGCATGTGGACGGTGGCACTGGGGCCTTCGGTGGAGCTCCCTTTTGGGCCACGAAACGTGTGAGGGGTGTGCCGAAATTGGTGAGGGGGACGCATGTGGACGGTGGCACTGGTGCCTTCGGTGGAGCTCCCTATTGGGCCACGAAACGTGTGAGGGGTGTGCCGAAATTAGTGAGGGGGACGCATGTGGACGGTGGCACTCGGGCCTTCGGTGGAGCTCCCTGTTGGGCCACGATACGTGTGAGGGGTGTGCCGAGATGGGTGTGGGGGACGCATGTGGACGGTGGCACTGGGGCTTCGGTGGAGCTCCCTGTTGGGCCACGACACGTGTGAGGGGTGTGCCGAAATTGGTGAGGGGGACGCATGTGGACGGTGGCACTGGGGCCTTCGGTGGAGCTCCCTATTGGGCCACGAAACGTGTGAGGGGTGTGCCGGAATGGGTGTGGGGGACGCATGTGGACAGTAGCACCGGGGCCTTCGGTGGAGCTCCCTATGGGGGCACGAAACGCTGTACTGGGTGGGTGAAACGCAAGGAGGCGGAAGGAGGGGGAGGAGGAGAGGAGAGGAGGAGGAGAGGAGGAGGAACGCGGGGACCGTCTCTTCAAAACGAGGACCCAACAACACAGGTTGGTTGGGAATTCTTTGGTAGGCCTATAGGCACCTAGGACGCCTCGCCACTGCTTCACTGGCATGGCCCCCCGAGTAGCTCGGGCCGGCCTCCACACCCCAAGCCGTGCGACGTCGCGCAGAGACGGGCTCGAGCTGTGCGCTCGCCACGACACCTGGGCGCCGGGGGGCAAGCTTCGCGCGGCGGTCTCCTTGCTGCCCCGGCACGGACCACGAGGCCATCGCGGATCGGCCTGGCACGAGACATCTTCAAACAAAGACAGGGTCGAGAGCTCGCGCCGTGATTGCTCACGGCGTGGTGATTCCGTCACGGAGAGGCAGATGTCTTGGCGCGCAACCGCCTTTGCGATGCAGGCGAGCCTCCCCCCGACGGCCCTGAGCGCCCCGTCGCCTCACGCACAGAGAAGCCTGTGGCCGCGTGGTTCTGGCACTGCAGTGCGGGCGATTCGGGGCTGTGTACCCGCTGCCGCCGCGGGCTGTGTGTGCCCGTTGCGTGCATCCAGTCCGGGTCCATGGAGGGGGAGCTGGCTGCACACAGGGGTGGCCCTGTAGCCTGCGGGCAAGCGTGACCTCTGCCGTGCGGCCTGCCGATCGTTGCCTGCTGTGCGACAGCAGCGGCTTGCGTTCTTGGGCTCAGCCCCCCGGGCCCCCACCCGAAAGCCGCGCACCGAAAGACCACTCCGCTCTCATTCCCCAACCTCCGATGTGTGTGTGTGTGTGTGTGTGCCTGTGTGTGTGCGTGTATGTGTGTATGTGTGTATTTGTGTAAGTGCGTGTGTGTGTGTTGTGTCGTGTCGTGTCGTGTCGTGTCGTGTCGTGTCGTGTCGAGAGGTGCGGTGTGGTGTGGTGTGGTGTGGAGTGGAGTGGTGTGGTGTGTGTGCGGGTATCTGACTCGTGGGCGCAGCGAGAGGCGCCCTCCAGCAGATTGAGGAGACGATGAGAAGAGGAAGGAGGGTGGAGAGACGAGGGAAGATTCAGGATCGAACATCACGATCCGTTGATTCTGTGTGTGATGTCCCCCCTCCCACCACTCTTGCGCATCCGAGAAACTTCTCGTCCGCACGGCTGCACTCGCCCCGAAGTTCCCACACATCCGAGGACGTGGTGTTTTCGCGGCGTCGACCCGTTCCCCGAGGCCAGTTGCTTGCCCCAGGGGGGCCCAGGTGCTGGAGTCAAGGAAACGCGTCCGGCCTGAAAAAGCATGCTTGCCAGCGTGGACCCCGAGCAGACAGCTCTTGCACCGTGGATGTGCAAGCCATGTGTCGGGAGCGGCCAAGAGGGGGGTGTCCAAGAGGGGGGGGGTGCAAATCATGACCGGCAGCATGTGCGCGGCCCAGCGGAAGGGGCCAGGGACGTAATGAAATAAGAAGAGGCGCCATGAAATCTGGAGAAATATCATGGCCCACGCCATGATATCCACCCCCCCCGTAGTCATCACCCCCCTCTTTTCCGCCCCCGAACGTGGTGCCAGCTCTGCAGTCCAAGCTATGCGGCGCAAAGCTATGCAGTGCAAGCCATGCGGTGCACCTTCGGGGGGCCCCCCAAGCGGGCGGCCACGGGGCTGCCAGGAGGCAGCCACGGGCAGCGTCGCGGAGAAACCTCGGCGGACCCATCCAAGATCCTTGCGCAGCGGCACGAGTAGGAACCCCTGAGATCAAGCAGCGCTTGGGGGAAATCCTCGGAGATTTGGGCCCCAGGACGCCGCCGGCTCTGGAGTGCACCTCTTGACCAGCTCCGCCCCGCCCCCCTCCGAGCCTCCGCAGACGCGGGGAACGCTCTCGACGTCTTGCCTCCAAGTGGGCACTCCACCGGTGTAGCGGGACGCTGACTGCTGGAGCCCGTCGGAGGCAGGACGTGCTTGGAGCACCCTGCGTGGGCATGGGGCCCTGCCCTGGTCACAACCATCGTGCTTGGAGCAACTCGAGACTGCAATCGCGGCGCCGAGAGCAGAAACAGCCGCACACCACGGCAGGCCTTGCCTGCACACGAAAAGACCGTCATCGGGCTACACCAAGGTTAGGTCGGGCATGTCCTCCTACATGCGGAGTTTGGATGACAAATGACTATCCTGGCGAGGGACCCAGCCATGTGCAGTTGTGAGTAACGCAGTTGTGTGTATCGACCTCGGTGAACCTCTCTGTTGCCACGACTCGTGTGACGGGTGTGCCAAAATTGGCACGGGTACGCCATGCGGACGCTGCCACCGGAGCCGTCGGTGGAGCCCCATGTGAGGCCACGGAACGTGTGAGGGGTGCGGTGCGCTCGAATGCAGGGTGGAACCGCGTGCGGGCGCTGCCACTACTTGGGCCTTCGGTGGAGCCCCCTATGGGGCCACGAAACGTGTGAGGGGTGCGCCGAACTGGAGGTGGAACTGCCTGCGGACACTGCCGCTGGGGCCTTCGGCGGAGCACCCTGGTTGGCCATGAAACGTGTGAGGGGTGCGCCGAAATGGAAGTGGAACTGCATGCGGACCTGCCACTGGGGCCTTCGGCGGAGCACCCTGGTTGGCCATGAAACGTGTGAGGGGTGCGCCGAAATGGAAGTGGAACTGCATGCGGAACTGCCACTGGGGCCTTCGGCGGAGCACGCTACGGAGCAACGAAGCTTTTGAGGGGTGCGCCGAACTGGAGGTGGAGCTGCATGCGGAACCTGCCACTGGGGCCTCCGGCGGACCACCCTGTGGGGCCACGGAACGTGCGAGGGGTGCGCCGAAATGGGGATGCAACTGCATGCGGACCCTGCCACTGGGGCCTTGGGCGGGGCCCCCTATGGGGCCACGAAACGTGTGAGGGGTGCGCAGAACTGGAGGTGGAACTGCATGCGGACCCTGCCACTGGGGCATTCGGCGGAGGACCCTATGGGGCCACGATGCGTGTGAGGGGTGCGCCGAAATGGAGGTGGAACTGCATGCGGACCCTGCCACTGGGACCTTCGGTGGAGCTCCCTACGGGGCCACGAAGCGTGTGAGGGGTGCGCCGAAATGGGCATGCGAGAGAGCAGAGGCCGGGCGGGGAGGAAGGAAGGAGGGAGGGAGGGAACGCGGGGACCGTCTCATCAGAACGGGGACCCAACGAAACATGCTCAAACATAGTACAACATCTTCAGACATCGTCCCCAGACTTTTTGTGTGTGTGACTATTTCTGAATACTCCTCATGTAGAGGGGGCATCCCCGACTTAACACCAAGGACCCAACGAAAAATGCTCAAAAATAGTAAAACATCTTCAGACATCGTCCCCTGTTTTTTTGTGTGTGACTAGATCTGAATACTCCCCATGTAGAGGGGGCATCCCCGACTTCACACCAAGGAGTCGCGAACGAGGAACAACAAATGCTCAAACATAGTAAAACATCTTCAAACATCTTCCCAGACATTCTGTGTGACTAGATGTGAATACTCCTCATGT